GGTTTTGGGGTTTTCTGTTTACGTGCAAGGACAATCAGTCAAAGCCTGCAAGTTTTGTCACTCCACATTTTGTTGTATCCAGCATTTTGTAAGAGACCCTCCAAGGGACAGATCCTGCTCTCACTTTTGCAGGACTATGCAATCCAATGTATGGGCCGCATATATAACTCAAGGGGGCGCAGCAGCAGTGTGGTCCCTTCTGAGGGAGGAGCTAGGATGTCTGGAACCTACCTAAAGCTATGTATCGCCAGAAAGGGGCTCCCACCCCACGCTCCTAACCCAAACCCACTTTTCTCTTTGTGGTGCAAAGACTGGATTTAAACAACATGAGAGAATAAAGACTGTTTAGACTGTACCAAGTCCTGCTTCTGCAACACAAAGTGAAGCAGATTTCTCAGAAGCAACAGGGCCTGTTCAATGCCTGTAGGACCCACTGTACCTCTGGGATTAAAAACTTCTACAGACAGAAGAAAGCATAGATTTGGTAGAAGACCATAATTAGTATTATATTTTAAATGCTCTAAAAGTGTCCATAAGGTACAAACTTGCAAAAAATATTCTAGCAAATATGCAGGACGGCCACCCCAAAGGAATAAGTAGGAGTTCTACACTGCCTACTTCCCTGAAGTTTTCTCATAGTTCACTTAGGGCTGATTATTCTTCTCTTTTCATATGACAGTGTTCCAAGCAAGAGGTACTATAACTCTCTATCTGTTTGATAAAACCATACTCTTTGGATACAAACCTGCCATGCCCTTCACCCCAGCATAAGATCATCAAGTTGAACTTTCCATTTCCACTGTCCACAAGATTTCTTGTATACCTGAAATACAAAGTGTTTGCTTTTAAGAACAATCACTACCAACATGCCTATAAAAGAAGTATACAAATATGGTTATGAACAAAGGTTGCACCATATAAAAATCTTCTTTTCTGCCTTCTTGAAAGCAAAGTTTCCCTTGGACAAAGTGAAATTCAGTTTTTAAACTGTTTTTGTACATCTAGTTGTTCTGGGAAGAAAAATTGGACTCAGTTAATATTTGATAGTCATATTGCTTTTGAATTACATAGATGATTGGAGTTTGGGAACTAGGAGTCTGCAACTAGAGTGGACGACAGGATCAGATCAAAATAGTTATTGAATGAAGTCACTTCAGCAGCTGGCTTATAATTAGAAACAGAGGACTGCAATGAAAAAAGAAAAATACATGGTTACATTCTTCTACAGTTCATTTTCAGATATTCTTGGCTGTCCTTTCTCTTGGGCAGCACTCCTTCCTATTAGGCAGAAAAAGAATAGGGGAAAAAAAAAAAAGGTCAGGCTTACCATACATGGTACTCTTACTTTTTTCTTGAAGATTCTGCATCTTGCACTGTAACATTCTTGTATGGATAAAATACCTATCGTGTAACTTCTGCCAGCATCTACTTTGAAATGAAGTTTAGCATAGCAGAAAATTTTAAACAGATTTACTTATGCTAACTTAAAAATAACATGGAATGAGCTTTGTTCCTAAAGGCTTTTTATCCATATGCGTGTTCCAGACTGATTTGCTCGCAGGGCTTGAAAGCTTTTTGTATCACCATGTTTTGAGGTTTGTTTCTGCGCGCTTCCCTGCAAGCCTGCCCCCAGCTGTCACTTGTCTCATCCAGCTGAGAAGGGGCTGTGTTTTGCTATATACATTGCTTTGCACAGCGAGGCCCTGATCCAGGGCCGGTGCTCCTGGCTGGTCTGGTGCAAGCAAGCAGCTCTGACCTTCTGACTCCTCTTCAGCTTTAGTCATCGCCTATTCACAAGGTGCCAAGTAAAGCAGACACTTATGCCTATGACAGGAAGACTCACTCTCACCCAACAGACCGATGCAGAACTGTCACTGATGACACCCAGGTGTTTTGCATTAATTTTCTGATAAGGTCATTCAATTTAATCAAGATATGACATTCCTAACAAGTCACTTTCAAAGCATTTCATTTATATCTATATGCTGCCTTTTGCTCCGTCCACAATCTGGGCACGCATCAGGTAGATATATTTTTCCTATGATGTCAGAACTTAAGCAATCAGTGTTGGCATTTGACTGAACTTTTCAAGTGCTGCTATTTCTGTACAGCGGGTCTGCACGGCCAAAAGAAAGGCTGTCGTGCATACTTCTAAAGTTACCCGGCTTAGTTTTTCTAGTTCTTAGTTTCCTGTGTCCTGTTACAATTCCGTGATTTGTTCTGAATGGAGAGAAGTCAATGCAAGAAGACAGGAGGATTTTAAAAAAAAAAAAAAA